GTGACCCCTACTATTGTGATAAAGGATGGGGTTGTTGGTCCTGCATATTCAGGAAGGGTAAAGTAAGTGGCCCTTGTATCAATGCCAAAAGAGATCGGCTTACCTGCTACAAGACAAGTTACCCTGGGCTCACACATCGTGATCTCCATGGAGGCCTTGGGCCCTGGGCATCATCAGTCCTCTTCCTGGGCAAAGCCAAGATGCTCTGGTAGGGATAGCTGTAAGGATATTGTGGGCACTCAAGCGGAGGGGGAGGGGAAAGGCACTCCCTGGCAATATGGCACCCTTCCGGGTTCTTCTCCACAGTAAAAGCCCACCGGGGCAAAAACCTCAGCCAGTCACAGGTCAAGGCTCACTTCCTGCCCAGCCCCCATCCAATCAGCTACCTCCCCATCCACCCGCTATCCAAACCCGGAATGCAGCTCCCTGTAAACGTACACGCAGTCCTTGAATAAAGTGGAACTTCTCTGGTGAATTGTCAGCCCGGGTCTCACATGACTCCGTCATCCGTGTGCCCTTTCATTGGTGCCAAAACCCAGGAAGGAGTTTACCCTGTGCTAGGGGATTCCTTCCTCAGACTCCTCCGTGACCCCCTGGGACTGATGGTCCACCCTAGTCTATTTTCTCTGGCGCTGGCTTCCTTCACCCACCACCGGCTCATCCGTTAGGTAAGCCCCTTTTACCTTTTGTCAGGCTTGTAGATTATTTAAACCTTCACCCTAACCACATTCCCCCAGCCCTGGAGGCTAAGCCCCCATTCCTCTCTCTCTCTCCCACTCCTTTTAACCTTCCTCCTAACGGGTCCTGGACCTCCACTGTCCATCAAAACCCTAGCACGCTAGGTCCCATCCGGCTCCAGGCATCTTTGCCTATGGGAAGTGAGGGTCTAGGTGATGACCTACACCCCCTTCCTTCCTGGGTTCATCCTTGAACCCATCCCCTGGGAATGGCACGACTCATTGGGGACGCCCTCTGAGTCCCACCATTCTCATCCAGCCGAAGGGCTTGTTCCAATCCTCCTTTTAAACCTTCTCTCTTTCTCTCTAATCCTTTTCAGAATGGGAGCTTCCGCCTCCTCCCTCCAGGGTGATTCACCCTTACAATGTCTCTTAAACAACCTCACCACCCTATCCCTCAAGCCTGACATTAAACCCAAGCTCCTCACTAAATTTTGCACACAAGATTGGCCTTATTATTCCCTAGATAACCAAAATAAGTGGCCCCCTCAGGGCATACTCGATCCCGACATTCTCTGGGATCTCTTTAATTACTGCCTGAAAAAATGGAAAGAGATTCCATACGTTGAGGCTTTCCACCTACTTGCTCAAAATCCCTCTTACTGCCTCACCTGTTCTCCTTCCCAGGTTCTCCTTGCTTCCAAACCCCCTCCATCCTCACCGCCTCCACTACCCCCTACTTCTGATAATTTTGACTCTGCAGACGAACCCCCTCCATACAGGTCTCCTCCTCCTGTAACTCCCTCTGCTCCCCAACCCCCACAAGCAACTCCGCTGCCATCTTCCGCTTCACCTAGTCAGCCTGTCCTCCCTCCTGCCTCCTCCTCCCCTGTTTCTTCCAGTCCCACCTCGCCGCCATTTCCTGTCCCTCAACCCCCACAAGCAGCTTCACCACCATCTTCTCTCGCCCCATCATTTCCTCCGCCACCATCTTTTGTCCCACCATTTCCTAGCCCCGCCTTGCTGCCATCTTATTCCCTGCCTGCTCCCATTTCACCGATGTTGGATGCATTGGTGTGAAACAGCAAAAAGAAGAGAGTCCCAGAGCCACCAGTTTCAGCAAGTCCGGGAAGGGTGGCCAAAGGCCAATCAACCCAAGAGAGAGGGGATAGTCCAATAACATTGGCCAAAACCCTTCCCGGGTTTTGGCACCATAATGAAAGAACATGAGCCATGACGCTGGGTACTGATCAAGCTTTATTAAAGGAAAAGAATCTGCTGCACTGTGCCCAAAGTGGGGGGCAGTCCAGGGCTGCCCTCAAAATGGAGGATAGTACAAGGTGTGGGGGTAGGAGAGCTTAGGTAGTGCACCAAGGGCTGGCTGATACCATCAAGGAGGGGCTGTGCCCAAAGTGGGGGGCAGTCCAGGGCTGCCCTCAAAATGGAGGATAGTACCAGGTGTGGGGGTAGGAGAGCTTAGGTAGTGCACCAAGGGCTGGCTGATACCATCAAGGAGGGGCATTATGCTAATGTGGAACCTATGCAACCAGGGTGGAGAATTGCGCCCTTTCAGAAACAAAAGGATTCCTGTTTAAGTCAGGAGGCTTCTCGTAAAGGGAAGGGAGGAGGGTTTGGTGGTGGAGTGGAAGACACGCTTATTGTGTGCACAATGGTGCCAGTCATGTCCAAAATCCATCAGTTGCCAAGACAAAATTAGATGTGCAAGAGATTTATTGTGGAAATACCATGAGGAGAAAGTGGGAGGGAATCCAGAGATAGCTGGGAGATCCATAGTTCTAATTCCTGTGAAGGAGAGATAGAAGGAAGTGGGCAAGTCTTACGGATTACCAAGCCTCACAGCAGGAAAAAGATGGCATACATGATGTTCATTTGAGCAAACTTTAATAAAGGAACTATTTACAAAGATGTGTGCAGCGTTCGGGGAAACCACAAGGGAAGGTGCGAGATCTTAGTATAGTGCAGGTATGATACTGGGATGGAAATAAAAATCCTTTACAAGTTAAAATGGAATAAATTAATACATAAAAGGAGTCTTGAGTCAGTAGGTTTAGTCCACGCTGACTCTGCAGGAAATGAATAAACGCCTGACCTCACTCTTTTTCTCCTGTTTCTTGCTTTTGCTTCCAATGAGCCAGACCTCACAGGAAGCAAGAGGGCTGCAGAGGCCCATGTTGTAGTTTTTATAGATTGGTCTTGCAGGGCATATGGCAGGGTAGAGAAAGGTGGAGCAGAGACATGAGGAAAGAATATCAACTAACAAATATAAAGAGGACTGACAGAATTAGAAAACCACTATTTTGTAGCCAACTTAATAATTGGTTCAAGCAGGCAATGAATACTAAAATAATCAGCTGAAAATGTTAGAAGGTAGGATGGTCAGATAGCTTCCAAGATTCATGCTTCAAAGTAAAAAAGGGAGAAGAGGTCCCTTTACAAGGGAGAAATCTGGTGGAACCACTTAACCAAATCACAAAACAGCATTTCAGTATGGGCACTCTGACATCATGCACCTCCCGACATGATGCACCGAGATGAACATGCATCATCTGTGCAGATTTCTTTTCCAAGGAGAAATCTGGTGGAACCACTTAACCAAATCACAAAACAGCATTTCAATATGGGCACTCTGACATTATGCACCTCCCGACATGATGCACCGAGATGAACATGCATCATCTGTGCAGATTTCTTTTCCAACGTTCTATATGAATCTAGTTATTAGGAATCCAAATTTCAGGACATTCTACAGAACAACTAGCCTGTATTCTTCAAAGAATATCAATGACATGAAAGACACAGGGTAAGAGAACCATTTGAGATGAAGACTGAAGAGATAAGCAACTAAATACAGTGCATGATCTTTGATTAGATCATGAATGAAAAAACCCAGAGTCATTTTAGATAATACTATTGTATCAAGATTGATTACATTTGGTAAACATGAAGAGCTGATTATCCTGATTTGATCACCACATATTGTAGGCATGTATTGAAAAGCAGTTTTCTACCCCACAAACACATATAATCAATTGTCTTTCAAAAAATAAATATTATTATCTCAATATTAAATTTTATGGATGTGATAATGATATTGTGTTTAATATTTCTTCTTAGGAAATCTTGCTAAATTTTTTAAGAACGAATATGGGTGGGTGTGCATATATTCAATTAAGGTTCACTTAAATGGAATATTCATATATTTTCCCTTCTTTAATCTCAGCACTATTGACACATTGGACTAGATAATTCTTTGTTTTGGGGGGCTATCCTATACAAGATAGGATGTCTACCAGCAACCCTGGTCTCCACCCAGTAGATGTGTGTAGCATCCCCACCCCCACTGTCATCACAATCAAAAATACCTCCTGACATTGCCATATGTCCACCGGGAGAGGAGTGCAAAATCTCCACTGACATATGTGTATCTATATCTACAACTATCTCTATATCTGCATAGAATATCTACAGTATATATCTGTATAGAGAAAAGAATATAGATATATGGTAAATAGATCAAAAAATATTAACAATTAGGCATTAATAAATATAGCAGAAGGAGGTGTGAGTGTTCATTATATTATTCTTTCCAAAATTCCTCATATTTAAAAATTTTACAATAAAATTGGGAAAAATAAAAACAAATTGAATTAATCCACTCATGAATAAAAATTCTCATTCAAATAGGAATAGACAGGAACTCCCTTAAATGGCGAAAGACTGAATGATTTCCCTTTAAAAACAGGAACAAGGCAAGATACCTACTCTCACCACTTTTCTTCAGTATTGTACTGAGGGGTTAAGGAAGTTCAATGAGGTTAAAAAAAAAAAAGAAAGAAAGAAAAGAAATAAAAGGTATACAGGGCATATAGATTGAAAATGAAGAAAAATGTCTTTATCCTCAGATAAAATAATTGTGTATGTTCAATACAATACTGAATAAAAATGGTGAGCATATATATCTTGCTTGTTCCTGTTCTTAAGGGGAAATTATTCACTTTTTCACCATTCAAGGGAGTTCCCATCTATTCCTACTTGAATGAGAGTTTTTATTATGAGTAGATTTTTTTTAAAAAATTTATGCACCTACTAAGATGATTGTATGATTATTTTTTAATCTTTTTCTTTGGGGGGCAAGGGAGGTACACAGATCAAGTTTATTTGGTGAATGATGACAGCAAATGTCATCCAATTTGGACAAGATGAGAAGGGTGCTGTGACAAAAGAGCCAAGGAAGCCTTTGGGTCTGGATGCAAAAAGTCTCACAGGGAAAGGCACAGGGCTCTGGGGACACTGGTAATGTCTTCAGCCGTTCAGCACCATATGGATCAGCTCTTCGTCATTGATACAACCATTACTGCTCTCGCGCCCTGCTACCAACATCTCTCCTTCTTCCTCCGTCATTTTCTCATCCAGCATGACAAGGGCATGCTGGATTTCAGCGCCCACAATGGGGCCATTCCCTTCCTTGTCAAACACCTGAGGATCTTCAACATAATCCTCATAAATGCCCTGGTCTTTGTTCTTGGCAACAGTCTGCAGCACGGACAAGAAGCTCAAAGTCCAGCACTTCACATTCATCTCACCACTCTGGGGGCTCCCCAGGACCTCGAGCACCTTGACCTTGGTTGGGTTCTGGCCCAGGTCCCCACACTGGCTGTGCAGGATCTTGCCGTCACCTGTTTGGTCAAACAGCTGGAAGGCCTCATTGAATTGGGAACTCTGGTCCTTGGTGAAGTCACACATCTTGACTGCTCAGCTCTGAGGGACCTTTTCCTTCAGTAGTGGCATATTTTTAATTATTAATATGGTGAGGTACATTAATTAATCTTCAGACGTTAAATCGGCCTTCCATTTCTGTGATAAACGCAATTTAAGTATGTGTTAAGGGTCTACTGAGTGTATTTTGCATCTCAGACATTGTTGTTTTCGTCTCTAGAAGTTTTATCTGCATCTGTTTAATTTTTCATGTACTTGCAATGATACTTACATATCTTCTTCCCTCTTGAACATACCTTGGAAACTTACGATACCTGTGTTAGTATCCTTGTCTACTAATCCCATCATTTGACTCATTTCTGGATATACTTCCCTGCTTCTTTGCATTCCTAAAAATATTTGATTGGAATAAAGACATTGTAATTTTATATGGTCATGGCCTCGATATTATTTTTTTAAATTAAAAAAATATTTTTGAGTTTTATTCTGGAATGTAATTAAGTGTGTGGAAACAATCTGTTCTTTTTGGAGTTTACTAGAAATCTCTATTAGTCAAATTAGGAACAGCCTTTAATCTAGGGCTTTTTTATTTCCACCATTAATTCCAACTGTTGATCCCATCATTTATTCACACTTTCTAAGGACGCTACTTAATGGTTTATATGTTAAGAGATGTCTCCTCTCTAGCTTATGTGAACATTAACTATTTCTGGGCTCTAAGAAGAATTGTTCCCTGTTCTTTTCTGGTGGGTTTTTTTTTTCTGGCCCCGTTACTTTTCTTACAATGAAGTGCTGATCAATACTCAGCTACAGATTTGAAGAGAAATCTCTCCAGATCTCTGGAGTCTCTCTCTCTCTGTCTTTGTCTCTGTCTCTCTGTGTCTTTCTCTGTCTCTCTTTTCTCTTTCTCTCTGTCTCTCTCTGTCTCTGTGTCTCTTTCTCTCTCTCTCTCTCTCTCTCTCTCTCTCTTTCTCAGATGTCTCTCTTCTCTAGTACCTTGACCTGTTAATACTAACCAGCTTAGCATTCCAGAAGTCTGAACTCTGTCTTCTCAACTTAATGAGACTACCAGGATCTGCTTGGGTTCCCTCTACCCCTCTCTAAGCAGCGTTCTGAAGTGATCATTCAGCCCAACTTGGGATGTTTCCTTCAGGATTATATGTGGACCTAAGCTGGACTGGAGAAGTAGAAGAGATGGAATAAACACAGAGTCACACAGACAAGGCTTATTGCATAAAGAGGATTATCTTTGAAGAAAGGTCCAGATGAGAGATTTTGCACTCTGTTAAAATATCTGTGTGTGTGTGTGTGTGTGTGTCCACAGTAGCATCTTTCCATTGGCTGTGAAAAAGTAAAGCTCAATCACACTCAAAACCCTGGATTGTGAGGAACTTTCCTGTTGGCTTTGGCGACCTGTTAATACTAACCAGCTTAGCATTCCAGAAGTCTGAACTCTGTCTTCTCAACTTAATGAGACTACCAGGATCTGCTTGTGTTCCCTCTACCCCTCTCTAAGCAGCGTTCTGAAGTGATCATTCAGCCCAACTTGGGATGTTTCCTTCAGGATTATATGTGGACCTAAGCTGGACTGGAGAAGTAGAAGAGATGGAATAAACACAGAGTCACACAGACAAGGCTTATTGCATAAAGAGGATTATCTTTGAAGAAAGGTCCAGATGAGAGATTTTGCACTGTTAAAATATCTGTGTGTGTGTGTGTGTGTGTGTGTCCACAGTAGCATCTGTCCATTGGCTGTGAGAAAGTAAAGCTCAATCACACTCAAAACCCTGGATTGTGAGGAACTTTCCTGTTGGCTTTGGCTTTTCCCTCATATAAATCCCTTGAAATATGCGTGAACAGGAAAAAAAAAAAAAAAAAAAAAAAAAAAAAAAAAAAACCTGCTTCAAAGGTGGTTAAAAGAAACCAGAATACTAAAGTGGACTCTCATTATTTATGGCAGTTATGTTCTATAAATTTGCCATAAATACCGAACCAAACAAATACCAGGCTATTTCTCCTACCTGAAATCCAGGGTTAGTTTCCTGCAAAACTTTGGTGGTACCAACATTGTATCAACTGATACACCATTAGTCTTATATAGTTCTTTTGCCAATGTCCTGTGAAACAAGTCAGTTTCATCAGCATTGCAAACTTGTTCTTCCACATAATCCTTTTTCTGTATTACACTTAGCAGGTATTTTTAAAATTCTTTCACAGGTCCCTTATCTGTGGCACCTGCCCTACCTGCAAGCTCAACACTTTTTATGCTGCATTGAGCATGGACAGCATGAGCTGAGAAAGGTTTAAAATTTTCTTAATCTTGGATAACACGATCTTAAATTTCTTTGGTGTTAAGCCTCATGATATTGCAATCCACTATGTTTTTGTTGTTGTTGTTGTTATTGGTTTTCTTTCATCCATTGTCGTCTCATGCATGCACAAATTTAGCCACTTTTCCATCTCTTCCTTAGCTTTATTATGCACTACAGTTTTTACTTTAGGGCTTTCAGAGCAGTCTCATGTATAAATTTCCTCCTCCTTTCTCTGGATGTACTGTATTGTTGATTCATCAACATCAAACTTCTGGTGTATCAAATGTTATCTAATACATGTATTTTCTCTGTAAAAGCACAATATGACTTTCTTGTGCTTAGAAACATTAAATAGTACTTCAGCACTATACTTAAGGATCATTTTAAAGAGTGAAATTACCAACAAAAAGCACAAAAATGTGAAAAACGGGGCACCAATTAGCCCACAAAAAGGACACTACTCTACAATATGAGAACTGAAACCGGAAGGTAGAGCATGGACTTGTTCGACCTCAGCTGGAAACGTATACATTGGGTGACTAAAATATTTTGCCACTCTGGACATGTTCATAAATAACCACAAAAGCACCCTGAGATTGATTTGGGTTTACAAATAAATTTTAGTGAGTAGGCAAATACACAAATAAAGAAACTACAAATAATGTGAATAGACTACACCTGTGAAAATAATCTATAAGAACAAAGGAAAGAAACCAGAAAACTTATATATATATCACAACAGAAGTTATCCCACAGAACAGATAAATATGGTAACCATTTCTTCAAAAAATTTTTAAAAATAAAGCTCTATTCTCTATAAAACAAGAAAACTTTTCAGATACCTAAGACTTTGCAGACACTGAAGAATTTAGAGAAAATACGTTGAGTTAGCAGAAGAAAATGAAGCATGAAAACACTGTTTAAAGTAGAGGTAAAATCTATACAAAAACCCCAGAAATAAAGTTGAAATTCATATGGGCCTAAGGAGAATAGAGACCCTGCTGAAAACACATTAACACATACTGAGCACATACGTAATAAGAGCAAATATAACCAAATTGAAATAGAGAATTAAAATGAATTAAAAGATATGAATGATAGGTACAGGTGACCTAATACATGCATTTTCTAGAAAATTTAAATAATAAAAAAATTAAATATAATTGAAGAAAGTTTTCCTGAAGTAAAAGAAGATATGAATCTAGAGGTTAAGAAGGCAAACTATGTTCCTGGAAAATTGACATAGAATGGAAATATAATGAAATATTCTAGTCATGTCAGTAAGTTAAAACGATAAAAAGAGTATTATATGGTTAGTTAGGCAAAAAAAAAAAAAACACCTTACTTATAGAATCAATCTGGATTTATACCTTTCTGTAGCAATATCCAATGCTGAAGATTATGAAGCAAACTACAAAATCCTCCAAGCAAGAATCATTCAAGTTTTATACTCAGCCAAGGTTTGTACAAACACAAAGGCACAAATGCTGTAGAACATTAAGTAAATCAAAACATATCAGTCCTAGAAAATCCATGACAAAAGGACTAGCAGCGAGCATTGAATATTTTTATTTGAAAGACTATAATAAATATAAGTATGAGTATTAAGATGGTAGAGCAGAATAAAAATGCTAAAAACATGCTCTGAAAATATGGAAATAAATATAAATACAAATTGGGAGGCAAAGAAGATAGCAGATTGTATAATGCACACTTTCTCATCATTAATATCTGGGGACAGAAATTTTGCATTTAAATATGGCAAATCAAGTAAAAGAAATATAAGTACACTTAATTGATAAGAGTAAATACCAAGAATGATAATATAATCAACTAAAATCGGGTGGGGAGAAGAGAGAAGGAAGGCAGGATAAAGAGTATGTAGGCAAATTTTATTATTGCCCATAGTAGGTAATTATGTACCTGTGGCAGGTAATTAATACAATGTAAAGAAATAGAAGATTAAGGATATACAAAATTAGAGATCTAAAACATAACCTCCAGAATAAAACCACCATAGTCCTAACTATTAGAAAAATGTGTACAAAAAAGTAAAATATACAACACAGTTTTTTTAAAGCTATGAGTATAGGTCCACCAAGCTTAATATAAAATAAGATGATAGAACCCAAAACAAACCTTTTAGTCATCACAATAAGTGTAAGTAGACCTAAACTCACTTATTAAAAGATCTTAGAAATTTGATTTTAAAAAAACCTCAATTTTACTCTGTTCACAAGAAACAGAGTTAAAGCAAAGAGATTCAGAATATTTTGAAAGAAAAATAGGGGTAATGGCATAATGGGCAAACACAAACAAACGTAAACCACGAGCTATAATTTTAATATTCAATAAGATTTAATTCAGACAAAACATTAATCTCATTTAAGACCATTTAATAAGACTGAATAATGCCATTAACACAGAAGAAATAATAGTTATAACTACATAAACTTTAAATGAAAATCAAACACTTCAAGTGATTCAAGGAGAAACAGAAAGGAAACAGAAGTGTCGGGAAACATTAATTTACCTTTCTTATCCCATATCAGATCATGGGAAAAAATTAAGATATCGGAGACTAAATAGCATAATTAATAAAGTAGATCTAATGACTATTTCACAGACTCTCAATCCTGAAAACAGACAATGAACCTTATTTTCAAATGCCAGTAGGACACTCACAAAGAACCAAGAAAAAGAGAATTCAAGACC